GAATATACCTAAATCAAAAAATTTATAAGGTCTATACTAGCTCTGGATCCGGCGGAGGGCTGGGCCATGGCCCGGGTTGGCCCAGCCCTAGATCCGCCGATGGGTATGGGGAGATAGCGGTGGGGAAGAAGTTGTGGGCCTTGACGATTCCTCCTAAGGTAAAACATTTTACGTGGTGCTTTATGAGGAATATCTTGGCTACAGGAGATCATGTTAGTACAAAGAGTACGAAAGTAGGTGACAAATGCTCGTTTTGTTACTTGAAGGAAACCCAAAAACACCTCTTCGGAGAGTGCGATTGGACTACGCAGATTTGGAGGCCGACGAATTATACTGATTATTTCTCTTGTAGTTCTTCTGATGATTGCTACCAGTGGGTTTAAGTATTATGGATAAAAGGAATGACTCGAAGCTGGAGGCTTGGCGTGTCGTTCTATGGTTTCTGAGGAAGGAACGAAATGTGCAAATGTTTAATGGCCAGAAGCTAGCTGAACAAGACGTACATCATCCCCAGAGCTGAGCTATTTCTTGCAGAATACAAGGCCGAACAGGGAAGACATGCCATAATCCAAGCTTCGCCATTAGAGGATGCCTGGAGTCCTCCGCCTCCAGGGAGTGTGAAGGTAAACACTGATGCAGCGAAGCAGGGCGATGCCGACGTTAGACATGGGATGGTTGCACGAGGTTCGAACGGCGAGTTTATTATGGCTGTGACAAAGAAGGTCATGGGGAGATGGACGGTCGATGAAGCAGAAGTACTGGCAGCTTGCCCATCAACACTGCCTGCATAATGTTATTGTGGAAACAGATAGCCTTGAGAGAATCACAAAGTTGGCTAAAGCATATCATATCCAGTCGGAGATTGGAGTGATTTGCAGAAACGTCCGACGATTGCTGGAAAGTATGGGAGAAACTAGTTGGCGGCATGTGAGCCGGACGGGAAATGAGGCCGCCCATATCATGGCTCATTCAGACACAAGAGCTAATGTCTTATCAGTTTGGCTTGAAAGCCCTCCGATTTTTCTGATTGATCAGTTAGCAATGGACAATGTAACCATTAATATTGATCAATAGGAAGTGATTACAGATTCCCATAAAAGAATAATATATTTGTAGAGGTAAAAGAAAAACGTATTTCAAAAAGATTATAAGCCTAATAATATATAGAAAATAATTTTTTAAACTAAAGAAAATTTGTGAAATGATCAAAATCATCCAAGATAGAATCTAATCCAAATTTGAAATGAGTGAAAAATGAAAAGTGTGTTTATAAATATCCTTCTCACTAAATTCTATTTATTATGAGGTTAGTGTGTGCAATTTAGCAATACTTATTTATTTTTATTTTTTTATTGGGAGGAGGCTGGAAAGCTAGGGAAAGGTAATGATCAAAATCAACCTCAGTTATCAATTCAATCGTCAGCTTCGAATTTGTTTCAATGGCCAGGCTAGATCAACACCTTGGTGAAAACCCCAAAGCTCCGCCAAGATAGCTGAGCATGTACCTATTTCGCAGCAAAAACCTCCTTGCCAATCTCCGTCATTCTCCCTCAGACATCCTCCTGCACTCATAAGGCTTGTGATTCCCTAGGCTGCTCCGTTCGTGTTAAGTTTGACCCATCCTATCGGCCGATCTAGTTATGCTCCTAACAGGCCATTTTGTTAGGAGATACTGATAGGGTTAGATGGGCAGCCACGTCTCCAAGCCATGATCCAGCGGTGCAGGTAGATTGGCGCCAGCATGTGAGGGAGGAGAGCCGAGTCCATCGGCTGGCCCAAGCCTACAGAAAAAGAAAATGGGGCCCACCAGGCCCCCAAATTCAAAAAACACCACTTTTTTTTACTTTAAAACCATCCCCTCTCTAATCTTTCTCCACCAGACACGTTTTCCCCTCTCTCTCCAAAAATCAATTGTTTTCACTCCCTCTCTCTTTCCTCTCCCTCTCCCTTTCCTCTCCCGATAACGACGACGGCGGCCAGGTTGGTTTGACGGCGGCGACGGTGCAGACGAAGCGACGGCGACGAAAGGGTTGATTGACGGCAGCCGTTGACGAAAGAACAACTTCATTTACTGAGGTAGTAGAGTTTTTTTTTCTTTTGGTCATGGATACTCATGTTCGTTTTCATAGCTTCCACTAGATCTGGGTTTTCCTTTTCCTACGTTTTTTCTGGATGAGTTTGATGGATTTGTTTTCTGGTAACTTAGATTTGACTAGATCTGGGTTGTTTTTTATTTTTTTATTTTGTGGAAATGTTTTCTGGGTTTGTGGATTTGATTGGATCTGAGTTTGGGTTGCTGGGTTTGTGGATTTTGTGGATTCGACTGGATCTGGGTTTCTTTGTTTTCTGGGTTTTGTGGATATGTTTTGTGTGCGTTTCGATATTAGCTATGTTCGGGCAGGATATCAGTTTTCAATTGTTTGGATAGTTGTGTGGTTGAGATCTGAGATTCGAATTGTAGATCCAAAACATTAGTTCATTTCATAGTGGATAACAATTAGCATGCTTGTGGATATGTTTTCTGGGTTTGTGGATTTGATTGGATATGGGTTTGAGTTCCTGAGGTTTGTGGATTTTGTGGATTTGACTGGATCTGGGTTTCATTGTTTTCTGGGTTTTGTGGATATGTTTTATGTGCGTTCCGATATTAGTTCTGTTCAGCCAGGATATCAGTTTTCAATTGTCTGGATAGTTGTGTGGTTGGGATCTAGGATTCGATTTGTAGATCTGAAACATTAGTTCCTTTCATAGTGGATAACAATTAGCATGCTTGAGATACTACTTTTTTATGATGTGGATATTGTTCTGTAATTGATTGTTCAGATATTAGTTATGTGATGTCTGGATATTTATTTATTTCGTCTTGATATTTCTCTGCCTTATATGAATACTAGTTCACTTATATTAGTTCTGTGCAGTTGAGATATCTGTTATATTATGTCTGGATATTTGTTCGTTGTATCTGGGTATTACTTCTATAATGTTAGTTCTGTGATGTCCAGATATTGAAAATATTATGTCTGGATATTTGTACTCCATGTTTGGATATTTGTTCTCCATGTTTGGATATTTTTTCTCCATGTTTGGATATTTGTTTGCCGTTTGCTCTTTATTGTATGGATTATAGTTACCTTATATTAGTTCTGTGTGGCCAAGATATCAGTTGATTTATACGTGGATATTTATATATGCTCCAGGGATATTGGACAATGGCAAGAACAAAAACAATAATGAAGAGACCGTAAGAGAAGGATCATCTCAACCTCGTCGTGGCATGATCGAAACGTGGGGGGCTCGGAGGGACATGAGAAAGAAGATAATCGAGAATTTGCACAAGCAAGACACCATTTGAACTATTCCTTTTCTATTTTTTTATGTTGTACTTTTTTAGATTTTAGATTATGGGATTGCCAAGTTGGAATGACAATAAATACTAGTTGTATCGCAGTTTATCGAAAAGCGACTTTGTTTTATTATGAATTTGCTTAAACTAAATATCAACACAAACAAACATAGATAAACATCCACAAAAAAACAAATGCAAACCACCCAGAATAATATCCGTTCACCATAAACAAAATCCAGAACACCCAGACTAATATCCCACCGCCTAATACCAATATCGAGTCAGCCCGTAATCAATATCTTCACCATACAGACTAATACCCACCACACACAGATTAATATATTGATGTCTTAGACTAATATCCGGCTACACAGCAAAAATATCAACACATCATGAACTAATATCCTCCAATCACATAATAATATCTTATCACCACACACTAAAATTGATCACCCTACATTGTGTTCAAAATCATTTCCACAATATTGTCTTCTAAACCCGAAACCAAAACTCAAATCGTAGACACTAAACACAAAGCTTGAACCCTTAACTCTAAACCTCAACCCCAAAGTCAAATCATAAATCATAAACTCCAAACCCTAATTCTAAACCCTAAAGTCTAAACCCTAACACTAAACCCTAAATTGATGTAATCATATACAAATCAGTAGATAAACATCCACACAGAACAAATATCCAAACTACCCAGACTATTATCTGACCGTAGCAAACTAATACCCACCACACACATATTAATATCTGCCCATCACATACTAATACCCACCACACACATATTAATATCTGACCATCGCAGACTAATACCAACTACACATAAACTCTAAACCCTAATCGCCAAACACTAAATCCTTAACCCTAAATCCTAACCGCTAAACCGTAAATTGGTGTAATATGGTTGGCTAAGTGTGTGATGCTAGATGCTTAAATAAACAAAGGATCACATCTGAATAGTTACCAAAAGTGCCCCAATATCCATACTACATAAAAAAATATCTGCACCACCCAGACTAATATTCATTCCTATCATAAAAAATATCTGCACCACCCAGACTAATATTCGTTTCTCCCATAATAAATATCCTCACCAACCCTAACTAATATCCATCTGTTACAAACTAATATCCTGCTACACAACCAAAATATCCGCACATCGCCAACTAATATCCTCCGATCACATAATAATATTTTATCACCACATACAAAAATCGACTACCCTACATTGTGTTCAAAACCATTTTCACAATATTGCCTTCTAAACCCGAAACCCTAATCGCTAAACACTAAATCCTTAACCCTAAATGCTAATCGATAAACCGTAAATTGGTGTAATATGGTTGGCTAAGTATGTGATGCTATATGCTTAAATAAACAAAAGATCACATCAGAATAGTTATCAAAAGTGCCCCAATATCCGTACAACATAAAAAAAAAATATGCACCACCCAGACTAATAATTAAACCTTTAACCCTAAAAAAATTCCTAAACCCTAACACTAACACCCTAATCACTTTTCCAAAAAAGCCCTATTAGAATATCGAAAAGTCCAAGAAAATTTCGAAAAAATGAACTAATTTCAATTCAAACCTAAGCTAGACCCTAAACCCTTAACATAAACCGTAACACAAACCATAAACCATAAACTATTATTATTTAATGGGCCTTCGGCCCATGGGCCCTCGGCGGGCAGCCCTAACTAAGGTTGCAAGCCTTACGTGTTAGGACTTCCTAGTGTGTTTAATTTGATGTAAGAAACAATATTCCAATCCTTCACAAATTGAAAACCAAACCATAAACCCTAAAACTTAAACTCTAAATTGGTGTAATCAATTTCGGGTGGTTGGGTTATTTTGGGGTTTGGTAAATATTAATTTAATGATGGCTACTGAAAACAAATAAATATCCAACACAATGATTCAAAGTAATATCAACACAACACATAATAACATCCACTGAAAACAAATAAATATCCAAACAAACATACATATATATCACATGGGGCCCAAAAATTTCATTCTCTTTCCACTCCAACCCAAAATCCCGCCCAAACTGAAGCCGGGCCCACCACGCCACGAACTCGGCTCGCCTTCTGCGCCACACGCTGGGCCGGCTTCTACACGGAAGCCCATCTCCAGCTCATTTAAGTGAGCCACCACTCTCCTCCGTTGGATGAAGCCCAAGCACACGTGGCCCAAAATCTGACCCTATCAGTATCTCCTAACAAAATGGCCTGTTAGGAGACTAACTTTTTCGCCTATCGGCGGAGGCGACCATCCTATCAGTCGTTCTTCTCTTCTAGGCCTTATCAGCTGATTTCTGTTTTCTGTAGCAGTTTTCCAGGCCCTGATTTTTTTTGAAATTATTATTATTATTATTATCTTTCTCTTTCTCTTTTGCTCTCCCCACCGTTCGCTTCATCTCCCTCTCCAAAGCTTCAGTTTCTTCCTCTGCTAATAGCTTTCTTTTTGACTTTTTGAATCCTTATGGAATGGATAATCGATGAGCAACAAATTCATGTACCCATTCTCGTCGTTCATATCTGTTTAGGGCGTCGTTCCTGGGTTCGATAGCCACCATTGAATCCCTATCGAGGGGAGAATGACCCCTATCCACCGAAGAAATCAGGGATCTGAATCGGCCCATTCATAACCCACTCGCCAGTGCCAACACTCAGTCATGGCTTTCCTTTTCCCGATCTAGTTCTTCTTCTACAACAATCACCGCCACTAGCCACAATTATTCCTCAAATCGTCGGAGCCGTCATCATCGTCTTTCTCTCCTGTGGCAGAGATAAAGGGGGTCTGTAAGGGGGCAGTGGGCTTCTTCTTCTCTGCTGTTTGGTCTCCTTCACTTCTCTTCCCTTTCCGAGTCAATCAGTCCCCCTCAATCCTAGTAATTAAAGCAAGCAAATAGCGTTTGGAAGAATGAAACGAAGATTGAGAGTGGGAAGAAATTGAAACTCCTTGTTGGAAGAGTGAGCGAGCAGGCAAGCGGCCTTTGGAAGAATGAAACGAAGATTGAGAGGGGCAAGCAAGCAGTGTCAATTGGATTTGGGGTACGGGGTTAGGGATTTTGGGATCTGAAAATTTATTACTCTTGCTCTCCATTTAGAGAGAGAAAGAGGAGTTGTTCGATGGAGAAAGGAGGCGACTAGTCTCGAAAATTGGGCTTTTGCACTTTTGCAGTGGTCGAGTGCCTGATAAGCTTTCGTAAAAATACATGTATTTTGTGCATAAATGATTGATCTTTATGTATATACGTGTTTAAATTGCTCTAAATGAGTTCATATTGATCATGGAATGGCCCTAGTGTCATTACCAAGACATGTAGCAATTTAACACAGATTGAGCTAAGATTTTGAACAAAACAAAGTGCAGTGGACGAATGCAGGTGTAGTGGCAAAGTGTAGACAAGCAGTGTCAAACTTCCAGCAGGAGGCCAAACCGATGAAGACCCAAATCGAATTGTTGTGGGTTGGAATCTTCACTCAATGGTCATCAACCCTCACAAATCATAGGAATTGGATCAACTTTCTTGAAGTGAGAAAATGGATTTGGTGGCTCACCAATACATAAAAAGATGGAGAAAAATAAATGCAAGGAGAGAGACTTGAGCTGGCAACAACCTTCTCTTGGAAATTAATCACCATGCAAGAATGTATTATTGACATCCATCTGAAACAAAGGCCAATCGTGACTAGCAGCAACCGCCAGTAAGGTACGAACTGTAGACATTTTAGCCACAGGGGAAAATGTCTCACTATAATGAATGTCGAGCTCTTTAGTAAAGCCTTGGGCGACTAGCCGAGCCTTATACCGATCAACCGTGCCGTCGGGGTGCATTTTGACAGTATACACCCACTTGCACCCAACATAAGAAGTATGTCGAAGACGAGGTAAAAGAGTCCACGTATCGTTGGCAGGAAGAGCATCTAGTTCACGCTTCATGGCACGTTCCCAGATTGGATCACCCCGAGCCTGTCTGTATCGTGTCTGGATAACGAACGAGTCCACTGCGTGAGAAACATAGTCATGAAATTTAGGAGGTGGTATACCTTTCGTGGAGCGCAATGAATGACGAGGAGGAGGTGGAGGTGAGTTGTTAGGTGAGGACGAGCTGTTAGGGGAGGACGTTGATGACCCTAATTCGGATGGTGAAGACGAGCCGTGGGGGGCAGATCGAGTTGAAAGGGAATATGTGGAGCTGTGTGGATTTGAGGATCATCACCCTCGTCACTCTCAGAAAAGATATGTAAGGCAATGTCAGGGGATGAAGGGAAAACTGAGTAGGAAGAGGACGGAGATGACTCATATAACATAATAAGATGTTCAAAAAAGACAACCAAACAAGCAACTCACATACATTGTAAAACCAAATCATAGCAAAGATAATCCTTATGAACATCACTATATACCAAAAAGACACACCTAGTAGTTTTAGAGGACAGTTTTGTACGTTCTCTTTTAGGAAGAAGCACAAAATAGAGACAACCAAAAATGCAAAGACGAGAGTAGTCACGATGACGAGAGTAGAGAACAAAGAAAGGACTCTTACAACCCAGAACATGAGTGACTTGGTAATTTATAAGACGAACAGTAGTAGCCACAGCTTCAGGCCAAAAACGAGGATGAACATGGGAAACAAGTAAACCCAGGTAAAACTATGTTTGTATCATTTTGAGAAAATAAGTTGCTACGGACCGAGTTCAGATTTTAGGCGAAGAAAGTAAACCCAGGTAAAACGAGTAGCATGGTCTATAAATAGGGAAAAATAACGGAAACCAAGACGAGATATGGAAGGAGAGGGTCCCCATAGATAAGTGTGAATGATATAGAATGGCTCAAAAATAACAGTGGTACTCGAAGGCAACTATATACTGACTGTTTTAGTGTGACGATAGAAGCGAGTCACACAAGAAAATAGCCTAGTGTAACCACCTACTAGAGCGTAGTATAGCGGGTTTGGGTTTTAATGTCAACTCGGATCCTAAGTGTGCTGACTACTCCGTGAATTCTTATTATTTAGCAGTGGAAATGTAGTGAAGGTCCAAGTAAACAAACAACCAAAGCAGTAAAAGGTTGTTTTCAAGTTCAGAGAGGTCACCCGGATATTGTTCCCCCTAGACTGCAGTTAAGTCAGATTGTAATTTACCAAGTTCGAATTCAAAGATAGTTATACTGCGGGAGGTTCTTGAACAGTCTGCAGTCTCAACTAAAGGTCTGCAGACCCTCTCAATCTGAGTCCCCAACGGGCGACTAACCTCCACCGGAGTAAACAGATTGAGTCCCTAACGAACCAAATCTCCTCTACCGAAGTAAATCCGGTACAAAATAGTGAATTGACTCCTCGACTAAAGTCGTCAATTCACTAACTTCAATCAAGGGTGCTCTATCAACCTAGGCAGATATTCTCTTTCTAAGTCAAAGCAGAAATAACAGGAATTTGATCAAGTTTCATGCCATTCAACAAATTAGACCTCAATTGAATATAATCAAATCAATGGATTCATACTTGGGTTCAAACAATCAGACCTAACATACAAATCTAGGGTTCTTCATACCCAGGTGAATGTGGAAGTTACTCCATGTGGAGAGAAGCAAACTCTAGCTCAGAAGCAGAAAACATGTTGTGAAGAATGAAGTTCTGCTTCTGTTCGTCAATCGGCACTTCTCCAAGCGTTACCCGGGCTCCACTGATGATGAAGATCGATCTAAGGCGCTTGGGAACTCTAGTTCGTCGCTTTCTCTCTCTAGGTATCACTTTCTTTCTCTAAAACTCGGGGCCCTCTCAAAATTGGCCTTCTTTTCCTTAAAAGTCAGCTTCTCGCGATCCCCGGCCATAATCCCAGGTCGGGTATTTCAGGTGCCCTGTCAGGGATTTCGAATCGCAGCGTAGCGGTGAAGGCCTTAATACCCGATCGAGGTCCAAAATACCCAATCGGGTATTTTTGCTCTCTGGCCGGGACCCCTTCTGCCTTATGGGCGCCTAAAATCGATTTTCCCCCGCCTGATCGGGTATTATTGCTCATGGCCGGGTATTTTGCTCCTCCAGCACCCTTCAACTCAAACATCCTCCTTTTGACCCGAAACTCGTTTCTTCGTCTCAACGTCAACGCCAAGCCCTGAAATATGACATAAACACACCATTGAGTATGTGACCTACCCAAAGGCAATTTTCATTCTTCTATTTCTCTATTTTACGAATCATTCTCCTTCTTCCTCATCTTCGAATCATCCCTCTTCCAAGTTACCTTTCGGATATGGAATACACCATGAGACTAGTACGAAGAACACCCATCTTCCGCTACCATCGATGAAAAACTCATCATCGAACATTCTCATACTTCCATAGACCGGAACCGGTTTCTTGTAAAGAGCGGTTCGAGCTATCGTACCGGATAATATTCTTTACGATTGTTGGGACTTTTAAAGACGAGGGTACACGTACGATAGCCCGAGACCGGGTGACCAGGATTATGATAGAGTCGTGAACTACGTTCACTTTTCGTAAAGAATATTTCCACCCTCAACAAGCCTATGGTTACAAAAAATTTCTTCGTAGGATAAAAGTATCACCACTTTAGGTTCCAGGCTTAAGTACCTAAAACATAATTAGAACTTTTGGCAGGAAGAAGAATGAATTTTTGGTGTTGTCTTGTTCAACATCCGGCTACCTCTATTTATAGAAGCCGAATAGGTATGTTGCTTCAACCGAAGCATTGCCTTGTTCCAGGCAGCAGATAGGGTCAGTAACCACTTGGTTACTGACATGTCAGTAATGAATAGGGACCATAGATCTAAGTGGTAGGCAATCGTGTGGGGTTGGGCCGGACGCTGAGTGGAGAAGGGTATTTTTGTCCGTTTATATATTAAATTATTTATTTTATTTTATTTCGTATTTAATGGCTGTACTTTTAAGGAAGGAAAGAGAAATCACTTCTCTGCAACTTTCTATCTTCCTTCTCTCTTCCTTTTTCTCTCTCAATCTCTTTTCCAGATCCTCTCTCTTTCTCTCTTCCTTTTTCTCTCCCAATCTCTTTTCCAGATCCTCTCTCTTTCTCTCTTCCTTTTTCTCTCTCAATCTCATTTCTAGATCTAAATCTGCTCCATTCTCTTCTTCTTTATTTTTTTTTTCATGACGAATAAAAATTGGAGCTACTCTTTTTCATTGCATTTCTTCTCTTCATCATCTCATTGGCCTCAATTTCGATCTTTCTCATTTTTTTGGCATTTTGGTGTTCTTGATTGCGGAAGAGGAAATGAGAGGCGACACAAGACGATCTTTTTTCTCTACCTCCTTCTGTTTTTTTTTTCTTTTAGATAATATATATTGATATTATAACTCTATACCATATGGTATTCGGTGGTAACGAAATATATATTGATATTACCACACTATACCATATGGTAATGTATGGTATTGTGTGGTAACGAACTATATATTGATATTACCACATTATACCATATGGTAATGTATGGTATTGTGTGGTAACGAATTATATATTGATATTACCACACTATACCATATGATATTGTATGGTATTGTGTGATATTACCACACTATACCATATGGTATTGGGTGGTAACGAAATATATATTGATATTACCACATTATACCATATGGTATTGGGTGGTAACGAAATATATATTGATATTACCACACTATACCATATGGTATTGGGTGGTAACGTAATATATATTGATATTACCATATTATACCATATGGTATTGGGTGGTAACGAAATATATATTGATATCACCACACTATACCATATGGTATTGGGTGGTAACGTAATATATATTGATGTGTTAAATTCTTTTCATACCATATGGTATGGTCAATACCAGTCAATACCATATGGTATAGACTGGTAATAACTGACAATTTTTTTTATGTCCAAAAAATATCAAAGTGGATATCATTTTGAAGAGCACAATTAATCTGATCTAACTGTGCAAAAAAAATTAAATTTCGACTTAAAACGAGTGAGAAATCGTCCGTTAAAGATTAAGGGAAGGAAAATTAAATGTTTTGCGAAAAGAGAGAAGGCGCTGATGTGATCCGGTCAAAAGTCAGCCTCAGCAATAAATAGGAGAAAGTGTCATTTTACTGTACTGCCCTTTTCACATTTAATTTAAATAAAAAAGTGTCTGACACATGGGGACCATAGAAGGGGTTACTGATGGGTTACTAACCCATCAGTTACTGACCCGATCTGGACCCTTGTTCCATACCAAACGTTGCAACTAGTGGACATAATTATGGATAATGGAGCATCTCATTATAACCGCCATTATCCATAAGTGTAATTATCTACCCGAAACCATAATGCATTTCGTTGCATTACTGTATTCAAATTGGTCCAAGACCACAAGCATGAAACGTTGCTTTGTTTCATTTAAATTGGTCCAAATGAAACCATGTACCACGTGGGAGGTTAATGGAAGTTGGCTAATTCAATCCAAATGGAGGTTAGTTAATTTTAAAATTAATTTAACCAACTCATGTTGATCTTATTTTCCAACAACCTCAATCCGGTTTGGTCAATCCAACCCCAAATCAATCTCTGCCGGTTAGGGTTCAATCAAATTTCCAACATCAGCTCGCTGCCGCATTCGACAGTCGATCACAATATGGCCTCCCTGTTTGCAATAAACAGAGAAGTTGTGGCGACGATAATGTTTTTGTAAATGCCCCTTCTCTGGATAGTAGTGACATTCAAGATCAGTGGCCGGAATCCTCCTCTGGAATTGGGGGCGATCAACGGAAAAATCTGAGGTATCGACAAAAGAAAAAACTTCCTTCGTGCTCTTGGGCGAAGGTTGAAGTGCGCCTAAATCCGAAGACGAGTTTCTTCCCTGTTTAGCTGACCAAGGATCCCGTCAAATTGAAGATCTTCTTTGTTCAAGAGGTTGGATCAGATGGATTCGAATTCTGGCCGAAGTCTCATTAGGAATTGTAAGAGACGGGTCTGTTGTCTTTCCTGGAGTGCATCCGCAGAAACGACAACTTGTGGCCTTAGAGCCACCGTCAATAGGTCCTGGCCAGTCCACAATTCTTGTGCAATGGAAAAATATGCAGTTATGGAACGATCACCTTGTTCTAGACAACCAACGGTGTTTGAAACTCGAATTGTCTGGCTGCGTTAACTGTAGAGTAAGTAACAGACAGATGCCGCCACATTTGATTTGCTATCGGGAAGAGCTGAAGACTCAGGAATGTCGAGGCATCTACAGATCCCATCAGCCATGCCCTAACCCTTGCATCATTCTATTGCCAATTTGAGATTCTTGTGCCTCGGCTGTCTCTTCTGGTTTTGTAGTAATCATGTCGAGAATGCTGAGAAGACCACGACCTTCTACAAAGTCGCGGAATTGGGACTCCCATAAAGCGAAGTTTGTTGAAGAAAGTCATACGGTAGGTTTCTCCATTGATCCAAGCTCAATGCCAGATTCAGGGGTGGCCACGGCCCAACCCTCCTCTGGATCCGGAACTAGTATAATTTTTATGTGTTTATCGATTTTAGCCATTCGATCCAGTGTTATTTTATACTAAAATTGTGTGCAATTAGGAAAATGAGTAAGATGAACATCTTCAAATCATAACTCTAAATTTAGTCTAGAAATTCTAGCTCAAATGAATCTCGTCTAAAGAAAAACAAACAATGAAACCTAAAAGTCTAAAATGTAAAAGACTAAAAGAAATGTGAGATTTGTTCACTTGTAAAATCACTAGAGCAGGTGGTGGAAATAGGGATGGATACACAATACAAATTGATTAGTCGATTGATTTGTCTAGTGTTGATAATGTCCGTTTCAACAGCTATTATGGAGAGAACCTTTTCAACAATGGAACAAGTGAAAAATGATTTGCGCAACAAAATGAGCGATGAATTTCTCACTGATTGGTTAACTATTTAATTTTGAAAGAGAGTATTATGCAATTAGTATGGATGTAGACTCCTTTATTGATGAATTCACTATATTAAAAGATCGACGTGTATAATTGATATAGTAAAAAAAATTATAATTTTTTGCGGTGTCTAATTTTCTAATGAAATGCGGTCCAGTGATCTACTGTGTCCTGGATCCGCTGCTGTCCAAGCTCCATTGCACTTATATCTGACACCATGTTGATCTATATTGAAATAATCAAGCAATAAACGAAAAGGCAAAGGGAGTTTATGCTGTATCCCTGGAATGCCAGGATTAATTCACGAAAGAGTTGGAACTCTTCGAGATACCGATTATATTATAATTCTGCGTGTCCCTAGGTAATTCTTATTGTTATTATTATAATTATATCTAATAAACATGAACCCCAATAACCAATGGATATGACTATTCGTGGGCTTTCTTTTGCTAATCCTGTTACTAATTTCAGTTCAGGCCCTGCAGACTTGATCTCGGTTTTGTTGAGTTCTTGGACTAACCATTGACCCAATCCATAAATTTATGGTGGTTGACCCCAATTCAAAATTTGGGATGTTAAACTAAAAAGAAAAAGAAAAAGAATAACTTAAAAGAAACTCGGGTTTCTATCTCCAAAATCCCCTCCCACATTTTTCTCCTACGTTCATCGTTCTTTCTCCTTCTTCCTCTCCTTTGTTCTTCCAAAACCTTTACCAAATATTCCAAATTAGCTTAAAAATCCATTCCATCAACCTATTCCATCTACACCTACCTCCATTAAATAAACCAATTTACACCAGATTCTTTCTTCATCATTTCCCCCAAATTTTTAGGGTTCCTACTTAAAATTAAATAATGGAGTTCATAACTAACAATTGAGGTCGGCTGATTCGACTCTTTCGCATTGTGACGATGATTTGTTCTTATGAAACTGGTTTATCAAGCACCTCCAAGCTTTTCTTTGTTCTGGTTTAGCCCACAACTTCGTCACTCAATTCTGGCGAAAATGACAAAAGCTCTTCATCAACGGTCAATTCTGTCCAAGGAAACTCGCCAAAAATGCAAGGGTGTATCATCTTTTTGCCTCTATTTTGAAGTTCATCCGAAGAATTTGATAAGGCGGAAGATGATATAACACACGAGACAAATGATTTTACGTGGTATTCTCGATCGATTGATTGATCGAGACTAATACACGGTGAGCTCGAAATAGCTCACGGCTGACGTTTTATTAGAGACGACTACATTGTGACGGCTTGCATACAACATGATCGTAGCTAAGCTTCTACAGAGATAGACTTAGGGTTCAAACCCTAATGACAACCAAGTTCCTTCTTTTACCGGGACAAGGAAATAAAGAACTTGGAGAACAAGGAATTGATTACTTTTTGACTAAGTAATTAATATACTCAACACTCCCCCTCAAGCGAAGACATGAATGACAAGAATGTCGAGATTGAAACTAAACAACACTAAAAAAACCTCTTGCTGGCATCCAACATGCTGTGACTTTGTTCGCTTGCGGGAGACGTAGACAAATGATGAAACTACTCTATGCTTGACCCAGTTCTTTTGACAGTGAACTCAGCATGGTGAAATTCCTTCTCGTCTTGGAAGAGACTGATCTGACTCCATGCTTGACCTAGTTCAACAATAGTGAACTCCGCATGGCAGAATTACCTTGACGTCTTTGATGAGACTGGAGACTGATGATTGTGTTGCTGACTTTGAAGACTTCTAACTGCAGTGCTGACTGTGTTTCTTCGAGCAACCTGACTGATCGATTGACGTGGTCTGCTTGATGACTGAAGTAGTAGACCTACATGTGATGATTTCCTATTCTCCCCCTCAAGCTGGAGCATGAACGACGTGAATGCCCAACTTGAAAGTTAAAAATGATGAAGACGAAAAGTTGACCAATTTTGAACGCAGGGGAGACGATCACTTCTTTAATCGTGACTGCCTCGCACCTTGACTTGATTTCCTGACCGAAACTATATTTCCTCCTACACTGATTATTGAAGTGACCGATTCTCAGAATATCTCCATTTCCATGACATAATTAATGTTGGTGAAAAACTTTGCCTTCTTCGCAATCCTAGCTGAAGTGGATGATAACTCGTCCACACCAACGACAAGAGACAGACAATGGCTCCTTTGACTGAACTAGTTTGTTGATGATGGAAGCGGTACAGGATCACTAGTGATAGCTTGAGAATAAAATTTGAAATGAATGATGACCGGTCTCCGAACCTCAACTAACCAAAATGGCAGCACATAACAAAGGAAAAAGAGATTTCTTTCTTCCTTGCAACGAGCCCTACCAACAACATAAGCTTCCGAAGACTTGATGAGAAGACTTATACTTGACTAACGATTTTACGTGGCATCCTCGATCGATTGATTGATCGAGACTAATCCACGATAAGCTCGAAATAGCTCACGGCTGACGTTTTATTAGAGACGACTACATTGTGACGGTTTGCATACAACATGATCGCAACTAAACTTCTATAGAGATAGACTTAGGGTTCAAACCCTAATGACAACCAAGTTCCTTCTTTTACCGGGACAAGGAAATAAAGAACTTGGAGAACAAAGAATTAATTACTTTTTGACTAAATAATTAATATTCTCAACATCATCTCACTTTCCATCCACCAATTGCTCGGCGGTCACCTCTGCCCCAACAAGTAATTATACTCTTTCTCAACCTCTTGCTACTGAGTAGATGAAAAATGAGCAGAACTGATTTGCATGAGACAGTCAATTAATTGCCGAGAATTATCTGATTGTGGGTGATTTTGACGAAGTAGCTGGTTTTGTTTGAAGGAGAAAAAAAAAGGAAAAAGAAATAGCTTGCACTACAACAAACAGTACATATAGCCACAAACACTACAAGGAAGAGAAAAAAAAAATGATATAGCGGCTGTGAACATTTGCCTCCATAAGCCATGTATTTGCCGCTGAAGCCCTTCGAGGGGAGGAGATAGGGTGCTAACTTAGTAGAAGTTAGCACCGTAATAACTACTCTAATTACCATTGATTATTTTAAATTTAATCTGACGGTAAATAATTATGAGGAATCTGTTTGGTATTTAGAAAATTATAATTATTGAATAAAATAAAATATTTATATTCTCTCTCTATTAGAAACCTCTAGCGAGAGAATGTTACTACTTCACATTATATGAAAAAATTACTATTCGAATTAGTGCTGATTTGGTGGTTTGTTGTAGTATATTTATGATAGTTTTTGGTGATTTTATTGTATTAGTAGTGATTTAGTCAATTTTAAAGTTGTAGTGATTTGATATTTTTTATTGGGAATCACTACCAAATATAATAAAAACATTACCACAGACGGGAAAAACTACTACAACAGTGCAAAAATTTCTACTAATTAAAAATACAATACTCAGAGGAGAGGTGGACATTGTATATATATTAGGGTTTGTGGTCAGTGAGTGGGGGTTCATTTTTACCAAATTAACCTTTATTCAATTTTAACCATATGATTAAAAGCAATTTTAACCCATATGAGTCGTTTGCTGCGTTACTTTGATAAAAATACACCCCAGTATCGTATTACCAAATGTCCAGAGTTGGGGGGCGACCTAGAGTCTTTGCTATGGAAAAGATAGAGGGTGGTGAAGGAGAAGATGGAAAGGATGAACCAACACATTGAAGTGACTATGGGGTGATTGAAAGCAATGCTGTCAAAGCCGAGCCGGAGTATGACCCGGTAACGTGAACGGTTCGGTCATTAGTGGTCCAGCCGGTATTAGACCGTTTAAAAACCGTTTGAGAACCGGTACCTAATAAACAGTGATAAACATAAGCTAGATTAAGAAAAATGCACTTAAGGGATCCACAGTTTGCTAGCACTCAGCAACTGATTGAAGGAAACCCACAAATTACTGTCCACTAATCAAACAATACTGTCACGCCACGCACCATACTAATCAGCCATTAATTCAAGCCCAAAAGTTTGAATCTTTTACCTCGGCAGGGGCCAGTAGACTGGAGAGACGAGAAGAGCGGGAAGTCGGATGGGGAATCGGCGGGCACGCTGCTACCGATGGATTTGCGGCGACGATCCGGAAATGCAATCAGCACCAAGAACACCGATGGACGACCGAAGGCGCTGGGGAAGATGGCGATGGGTCACAGGCGACGGGGAACGGCGACGAGGAGGAACGGCGCTGAGGAAGATGGTGATGGCGATGGCGACGGCGACGGGTCACAGGCGATGGGTAAGACGACGATGGAAACGGGGAACGGCGACGAGGAGGAAGGATTTGGAGTCGGAAGCGGCGCTTCCTTGTCTCCACGAAGAAGAATGAAAATTAGGGTTCTGCAGAACAGCCCGACCCCGACCCACCTTCCCCTTTAATTTTCGGTCTTTTTGTTTTTTTTTTTTAATTAAATCAACCGGCCGAATGTAAAAAACCGGACGACCGGCTCGAGCGGTTAACCGCTTCGGCCTCTCGCCGGCCGCCCCAGAGAACCAATCCGGCTAAATAGCTTAACCGAGCCGGTTTTGTGTCCGGTTGGCTGTTTTGGCGGCTCGGCCAGCCGGCTCGGCTCGGCTTTCACAGCACTGATTGAAAGACTATGAGATGGAACTATTTGTTCTTGATTATTTGAATCGGTTTCTAGTCTAGTATTGTCGGTTAGTAGCATTATAATATCAGTAGTAATAAGAGTGAAGATTCAAAGTTTTATGTTAGCATGATCTCAATTTCGAGGACGAAATTTTCTTAAGGGGGAGAGACATGTCACACCCGATACCTAGAATTTTCATGAATTTTCAAATTTACCCTCATTTAGTTATTATAATTAATTAATTAACTCTATCTAGCCCTAAACTAGTGCGGCAACAGGTGGGGATTTCTCCCTCTCAATTCATGTGGATATATTTATATAAAAACTAAACCTAGTGGCCAACCCGTAAGAACTAGAACCCTAAACTAATAAATCCCAAAGCGGCAGCGCCGTCTTTCCTCCCTCTTCCCCCTTGCACGATTAAACACCACCGCCACCTCTCAGTTCCCATCATCGCTACCTCCTCCCTCGACCAGTAGCAAGCGAACTCCCCAACGGAAACGACAGCCGGCAGAGACGCAAGTCGGGAGCGACGCTGACGCCAAACACGCACCCGTTTCCGCCGTACGTGGTGTCCTCTGTTCGGCGGGCACAGTAGCTCTGGATCTTCCTCACTCGTCCATAAGTAAGGATCGTATAACCCTCCCAGTCCCGAGATCAGTCAATCGCTAAACTAATCCATCCCGTGTTCATGAACTGAAGTTTTGCCAGTGGGATTGGGGGACTCGAACGACGATCGACGATGGAGAAACGACGTCTGGGAAATCCTCAAATTGTGCTCTAAGCCCGTGATTGAGGTAAGGGATTTAACCTCGTCCATTTACTTGTGGAATTAGTTGATGTTGGAGATTGTGGGAGCTGGTAGTGGGTCACTAATTAAGGAAATGAGTTCCGGATCCTTACATATTATATATGGACGAATGGAACTGTATGGTGATGAATTAGCTCGGTTACATGTTAAAAACAAAAGCTCTTTACAATTTAGTCACTAAATTTAGTTACGTGGATGGATGGAATGCATGGTAGGTTAATTATTATAAGGGGTTCAATTGTTGAAATGAAAGATGGATTCTTAATCTAAGGCAAGTATGCGGGTGTATAATCAAGTGAGCTGTGCGTGCTCTATCTCTAGGGAAAAGTAAAGGAACAAGGAAAATGGTGTATGGACACGTACAAGGCTTATAAGGACGTTGTGGATCATCGGGGCATGATATAAGTTGATAATCAACTTTAAATTAAGGTGCGTTGGTTAAAGGGTCTAGTTAGTATTTTATCCTCGATTATTTATTACGTGCTGAATTGTGTCTTTTTCTTGAATTAATTGAGTGCTAGTTCTGATATGTTTAAGTTCTGCATTTATGATTTGATGATTATGTGCATTCTTAAGTTCATGTGTACGCATAGCATCAATTTCTCTACGGAGAAATCATATTAATATGGAAATTATGAGTTTAGATCTCCTTCTGCTGGAGGAGATCATCCTTGACAAGCTTTGGTTGTAAAGCAAGTAAGCAAGTATATGTTGAATACGTCTCCCCATGGTGTGAGAGATTGATTCGACCGAGCAAGGATAAATCACCCAAATAATAAGTAAGAACAGGCAATAACACGTTTAACCCTCACATAGCTAGATACGCATGCGGTACAGGATCCCCATTGTGTGGGTGTTTTCGCCTCAGATAGGCGCAGGATCCCCATTGTGTGGGTGTTTTGCCTCAGATAGGCGCAGGATCCCCATTGTGTGGGTGTTTTGCCTCAAATAGGCACAGTTTACACGTTCATGCTCCCCATTGTGAGGGTAGTAATATAGAGATAAGTTATGACAAGTTTACCTTACGGTTGTGCTAGCTAAGTGGAGGGCGGGGGTCCATTGTAAGATAAGATATGTAAGTAGTAATATCAACTTCGTTACGAATAAACTGTGCATTTTAATTAGTTATAAGAGCATCACATGTGCATGGTTCTATTTGTATTTGAGGGATGAAAATAGGACTAGGACTGACCCCACGCCCGCACTAAAGAGCTGCAAGGAAGCGGAAGCAACTGGACCACTTGTTAGAAGGAAGTTGCTGCTCGAGATGTCACCTTCACAAGGGTTAGTGATTGTCGAAGATTCCAAGCAAACTTATGTACTTTTATTGGTAGACTTGAGGCTGATGCTCATTTATGATTTGGTTAAAAAGGATTTTCCTACGGTGGTTTGAAATGATTTCCATTATTCTTTTCATTTGGAGTTATTTTGACTACTCAAGGGCATTTTGGTAAAAGTAGTGCTTGGCTGAGCTAGAGTGTTACATTTTAGTATCAGAGTCGGTTTCCCTCTGTTTTCACTTTGTAAGTGAGATACTGGGAAGTCAGTCTCCATGTTTCCTACAAGTATTAAAGGCTTTTAGAAGTTTCAACCAAGTTTTCAAGAAAACCTAAAATCATTTTAGAGCACCCAGTCTCGTCTACTAACAAGTGAAATGTTTTCAAGGTCCTGACATAAAGTCGTTTCCTTATATAGGAGCATGGATACCGGAAACTCTCAACAAGCTTGTGATCGACGCCCACCTCCGAATTACGCTGCACTCAGGAAGATGGGTGTGAAAGACTTTGAGGGATCTACTGACCCTGATGTGGTTGACGGATGGTTTTTGAAGCTCACTCGCACCTTGGACGAGCTGAGCATCGATAATCATGAAGACAGGATCGCCATGGCTGTCCACGTGCTTCAAGGAACTGCTAGAGATTGGTGGCACCTCCAACCGGAGAGTGAAGTAGTACCTCTGGAGATCACCTGGAATCAGTTTATGAAGACGTTTCTCGATGACTACATTCCCCAAATAGTCCGAGATGATAAGAGAGAAGACTTTATGAAGTCGAAGCAGCAGTGGGGGCAGAGTGTGACGGAATACACAGAGCTATTCAAGAAGTTGTGCAAATATGTTGATCCCGTGTACCGGCCTGCAGCAGGGATGAGAGATCGCTATGTCCGAGGTTTGAGGCCGGATCTGAGGAAATGTATGGGAGAAGCGGAGAGGTCATCTCAAGGAACAGCATAACGAGTTGCCCTTCGCATTGAAAGGGATGAGGAAATGGCCCAACAGGGAAGGGCTACCTGGCTAGAGACGAAGAAGAGGAAAGGATCCACCTACAATGAGGACCAGACGCATTCGATCCATCCAATTAAGAGGGGATCTGGTTCCTCCACTCAGCAACAGTCACAGAGCTAGGCGAGCTCTGCTCAGGGTACAAAGATACATTACCAGTACCCTCTCTGCGATACATGTGGTAAACATCATTTGGGCGTGTGTAGGTACGCTAAGAGTGTCTATTTTGAGTGTGGTGAACCAGGCCACATGAAGTTGAGTTGTCCATGACTTGCGGAGCATACGAGGGTTATTTCTGACCCATCAGTTGCGGGAGGTAGAGCACATTCTGGAAGTAGATTTACTGGCAGGACTAACAACTTCGACGACAACAACAATGGTGGATGTTTCAATAGCATTAACACCCACCATACTAGTCGAGATCAAAGCCAAATGATATGATCCGAAATTGCCAACCATTCACGTCACAATTATTTGACAAAGAAGCTATCGAAGTTGGAAAGAAGAATGGCAGAATTTGGCTAAGTCAAAATCCATGTTCAGGGTACATACTTGGGAGGCATGGTTCTCTCAATTGGCTTATTGTAAATTCAAGGTTAAGGGTTTGTTTTGTAGATAAAGTTTTCATGTTTCCAATGATATGCTTTGTGGAGCTAGATGATGTCATTAAGGTTGTTTTCCAAGGCCTCCAAGTTGCTACCTCAAAACTGGAAAACTGCCAGAAAATGGCTAAGGCAGAAAACTGTTTTGTGAAGCCAACTGTGGAGCTCAATTCAAGGAGCATGGATGGTATTCAAGTCAAAAAGCTTCCGCAACGTGAAACTAGGTATGTTTTTGAACAAAGGGAAGGAATTGGATGAAGAATTGGAGTTCGGGAAGGCCTCTAACAAAAGGCGCGAAGTTAGTACAAAAGCTGCTTTTTGACTGTTTTGCGGGCAGCTTACTTGTGCTTCAAGAAAGGGATTTTAAACCCGAATTTTGTGTCCTTTTTAGTGTAGACTTTTACCTTAGTTGTTGCCTAGTTATATTAGGATTGTATTAGGGTTTTTTTGCCTTTAAATACCGTTCTATTTTCGTTGTAAAAACATAACTCTTTGATTAATCGAAAAAACAAACCTTTTGGTTTTGTGCAAGTTGCGACTTGTTTGAGTTTGGTGGATTCCAAGCTTGTGAGCTTTGTATCGATTGAATATCCTCTTCAATCGTGGTCGAGCAGCTACCCTTTTATACCATATGAGCTTTCCCCAGGTGTGGAATTGTCCGTTGGTTCCGTTTTATCCCAAGTTCGTATTAAGAGCGCTTTGTTCTTGATTCGAGCTCAATCAATTCTTCGATTGAGTCGTTTGCTGCGTTACTTTGATAAAAAAACATCCCCCAGGATCGTATTAAGTGGTATCAGAGTCCCGTTCAAATTAGTGGACAAGAGAAGAAGAGTACAGCTTTCTACGAGCTCCGACAATGGCAGAATTTGAGCAAGGTAACCTGACTTCTTACACTCGTTGTTTGGTTAGGGAAAAAACTGTATTCTGTGTTAGTCAATGGTGAGAGCAAATCGAACTTGATTAGCTCACGGGAAGTGGCTAAATTGGGGCTGCCAACTCGAAGACATCCAGCCCCTTATTCTTTGCCATTATTAGAGGAAGAAGACTTTGTTTTCGTCACAGAGGAAGTATTCTTGCAATTCAGAATCGGAAGGTATGTCGATGAGGTTTGGTGCGAGGTAGTGCCTATGAATTTTACTCACGTGGTAATTGGAAAGCCTTGGCACGATGATCACGATGCTCGCCAGAGCAGGCAAAGCAACAAAATCAGATTGCGGCATCACGGGCAGGCATTTATCTTGAAGTTTTTGTCTCCGGACAAAGCTTCTGAAGATCGAGCCACACTGCTGCAACAAATCCGTGACGAGGAGGAACAACGGCTGAAGATGGAGGTTTCTGAAGGGGAGCAACAATTACATAAGTCGGAGATATCATGTTGTGACGTTATTGAAGCAAACAACAACGAAGTTCAAGGCCTCTGTTTTCCTCCGGTAAAACAGATTCAGCGTCCCGGAGAAACCGATGATGGGCTAGAGGAAGAATCGAAGGATCCCACTACCTCAAACAAATTTATTAGAGACCTAGAAAAGCTTCCTAACACGCCAGAAGTCCCAAATCAGCTGCAAACCAAAATGCTCATCGAAACCGATCACCTCTGCTTTGCTCCCGGGAAACAGAAGCTCGGGAAACTAGACGAACTCGCAGCGTTACAGGAAGATCCGAGTCCTCAGGCGGGTGCAGAGGGATTCCTGGAAGATTTAGGAATGTCGAACAGTGAAGCAGCAGATTCAGCAATCCCCGAAGATGCTCGAATCGAGCTGTTGACGAAGACAACATCACCCTGCCCAACAACGACAAAACATAGTGGCGACTTTGGCACTTCTGCCGCCGCCGATGAAGCGAAGCCGACACATGATGCTGCCAGAAACGTATCCTTGGAGGTTGGAGGAATGACGGCTAGTCGAGGGAAAGCTCCAAAGCCTGTTGAAGACGATCGCCTTCCTCCTCCGACGAGATTGCCGCAACTCTGCCATGTTTCCTCGACAGAGCAGGGCAGGAGAGAGAATGGATGGGTGGGAACTGTGGGGGATGAGTTGAAACTCACCAATGGTGTGGACTCATAACCCACGACCCAAGCAACGTCAGAATAAGCTTCCTTGGAGTCGAACGTACGCGGAATTGAAGATTCGATTCTCACGAAGTCGCCCCTGTTCGTGAAGGAAACTGCCGACCAGAACTCTCTCATGGGTAGCGCCATCCAGCTCGATTTGAGCAAATCCAATGATGTAGAATCATTACATGAGGTACTAGGAAAGATCATAAGCATTCAATTTGTCCCGAAGAAGTCTGAATTCAAAACACCCAATTTCCAATTGAAATTTCTGGGTTTCGGATTTTTGAATGTGGTCGACGGCGGGAAATACAAAATTGGCGATTCGACGACGACGGTGATGATTCGAGGCTCGGTAATGGATCATACTTTCAATTGGAAGCCTGTAGAAGATAATGGAGTGGTTCAATTGGACTGGAAATCGTTGATACGAAAATCCCCAATTCGGTCGAACGAACTCGACAACGGAGATGAAGTCCGACGACCCGGAAACAGCTGCGGCCTCTTTCCAGTGAAATTGGACGTTGCGGAAGGTTTTTGGCAAGTTCAGGAAGAGTTTCCAACAGCTCGGCAAGCTTCCAAGCCCTTGGACGAGATCGAAGTTGAGTATGCAGCTGAAATTTTTGCGTCAAAAAAGATGATCGATCAGCCCACATTCGATCCAATTTGGGATTAATTCTGTGAACGGTTTGCGAAACGAAAGGCTAAAGTGTTGAGGGCAGCACTTTTTAAAGAGGGAGGGCTTGATATGATCCCAAATTGCCAACCATTCACGTCACAGTTACTTGACAAAGAAGCTATAGAAGTTGGAAAGAAGAAGGGCAGAATTTAGCTAAGTCAAAATCCATGTTCAGTGTACACTTTGGAGGCATAGTTCTCTCAATTGGCTTATTGTAAATTCAAGGTTAAGGGTTTTTTTGTAAATAAAGTTTTCATGTTTTCAATGATATGCTTTGTGGAGCCAGATGATGTCATTAAGGTTGTTTTCCAAGGCCTCAAAGTTGCTACCTCAAAACTGGAAAACTGCCAGAAAATGGCTAAGGCAGAAAACTGTTTTGTGAAGCCTTCTATGGAGCTCAATTCAAGGAGCATGGATGGTATTCAAGTCAAAAAGCTTCCGCAACGTGAAACTAGGTATGTTTTTGAACAAAGGGAAGGAATTGGATGAAGAATTAGAGTTCGGGAAGGCCTCTAACAAAAGGCGCGAAGTTAGTACGAAAGTTGCTTTTTGACTGTTTTTTGGGCAGCTAACTTGTGCTTCAAGAAAAGGAGTTTAAACCCGAATTTTGTGTCCTTTTTAGTGTAGACTTTTACCTTAATTGTTGCCTAGTTCTATTAAGATTGTGTTAGGGTTTTTTTGCCTTTAAATACCGTTATATTTTCGTTGTAAAAACATAACTATTTGATTAATCGAAAAAACAAACCTTTTGGTTTTGTGCAAGTTGCGACTTGTTTGAGTTTGGTGGATTCCAAGCTTATGAGCTTTGTATCGATTGAATATCCTCTTCAATCGTGGTCGAGCAGCTACCCTTTTATACAATACGAGCTTTCCCCAGGTGTGGAATTGTCCGTTGGTTCAGTTTTATCCCAAGTTCGTATTAAGAGAGCTTCGTTCTTGATTCGAACTCAATCGATTCTTCGATTGAGTCGTTTGCTGCGTTACTTTGATAAAATTACACCCCACAGGGTCGTATTACCAAATGTCCAGAGCTGGGTGGCGACCTAGAGTCTTTGCTATGGAAAAGATAGAGGGTGGTGAAGGAGAAGATGGAAAGGATGAACCAACACATTGAAGTGACTATGGGGTGATTGAAAGACTATGAGATGGAACTATTTGTTCTTGATTATTTGAATCGGTTTCTAGTCTAGTATTGTCAGTTAGTAGCATTATAATATCAGTAGTAATAAGAGTGAAGATTCAAAGTTTTATGTTAGCATGATCTCAATCTCAAGGACGAAATTTTCTTTAGGGGGAGGGAAATGTCACACCCGGTACCTAGAATTTTCATGAATTTCCAAATTACCCTCATTTAGTCACTAAATTTAGTTACGTGGATGGATGGAATGCATGGTAGGTTAATTATTATAAGGGGGTTCAATTGTTGAAATGAAAGATGGATTATTAATCTAAGGCAAGTATGCGGGTGTATAATCAAGTGAGCTGTGCTTGCTCTATCTCTATGGGAAAAGTAAAGGAAGATGGAAAATGGTGTATGGACACGTACAAGGCTTATAAGGACGTTGTGGATCATCGGGGCATGATATAAGTTGATAATCAACTTTAAATTAAGGTGTGTTGGTTAAAGGGGCTAGTTAGTATTTCATCCTCGATTACTTATTACGTGCTGAATTGTGTCTTTTTCTTGAATTAATTGAGTGCTAGTTCTGATATGTTTAAGTTCTGCATTTATGATTTGATGATTATGTGCATTCTTAACTCATTGTGTTCGCATAGCATCAATTTCTCTACGCAAGAAATCATATTAATATGGAAATTATGAGTTTAGATCTCCTTCTGTTGGAGGAGATCATCCTTGACAAGCTTTGGTTGTCAAGCAAGTAAGCAAGTATATGTTGAATACGTCTCTCCATGGTGTGAGAGATTGATTCGACCGATCAAGGATAAATCACCCAGATAATAAGAACAGGCAATAACACGTTTAACCCTCACTTAGCTAGATACGCAAGCGGTACAGGATCCCCGTTGTGTGGTAGTCATATAGAGATACGTTATGACAAGTTTACCGTACGGTTGCGCTAGCTAAGTGGAGGGCGGGGCCCATTGTAAGATAAAATATGTAAGCAGTAATATCAACTTCGTTACGAATAAACAGTGCATTTTAATTAGTTATAAGAGCATCGCATGTGTGTGGTTCTATTTGTATTTGAGGAATGAAAATAGGACTAGGACTGGCCCCACGCCCGCACTCAGGAGCTGCAAGGAAGCGGAAGCAACTGGACCACTTGTTAGAAAGAAGCTACTGCTCGAGATGTCATCTTCACAAGGGTTAGTGATTGTCGAAGTTTCCAAGCATGCTTATGTACTTTTATTGGTAGACTTGAGACTGATGCTCATTTATGATTTGGTTAAAAAGGATTTTCCTACGGTGGTTTGAAATGATTTCCATTATTCTTTTCATTTGGAGTTATTTCGACTACTCAAGGGCATTTTGGTAAAAGTAGTGCTCGGCCGAGCTAGGGTGTTACAAACAATTCATACAAAATGGAAAAACACCTGGGTTGATTTTTCAGACTCGATCTCTATATAGAGCAGTTTCATCTAAAAGTCAGCCAGGTTGTTTTTTAGACATAAGAAAACATCACAAACATGATTGAAAAAAATGAAAAATTGGGGCACAAACAAGATTGTCAACCCGCGGGTCAACCCACTTTGACCCTGGCTCGATGAGAAAAACGAGCCGCACGCACCCGCCGAGTCGACTGCTGCAAGGTACCAGGTTGGAGGTCAAATTGTTTCATTTTTTTCTTTGGTTTGCGAAATGCGTCTATTTTTCTATTTTTTCTTTTCGCCTAACTCAATATTTGGAATCCTAAGTGGAACTTTTGAATATTGATGTTATATAAGTGTGTGTGAATTTTCACTATATGTTGGATCTCATTACGACATGTTATTTTGGTGTAATATTATATGTTATAACTCATGTTAGATGAGATTTGATATAATTTATCAGGATAAGTACAATATAATGACTCTTTTCATATTTTCGGGCTAAACTAGGCTGAAACAGGTGACCCACTAGATTGGCCGGGTCTAGGTCAGCCCGCGGGTTGACAACCTTGGGCACAAATTAACAAACATTACAAAACATGACAAACATTACAAAAATAACAAAGCTTACAAACATTACAGAATAAACCAGTAAACATTACAAAGCATACTAACAGTACAAGATAACATTACTTACAATACAATAAAATTTTATTACAAATCAATGAATAAAAAGTATATAAATCATAACATAAAATATACAAACTAGAATAACATATATTAAAATATATATAAATTAGTCATATAAACATTATACACACAATAGACAACTAACGAACTAGAATGATAAACAATACAAACCAAATTGATATAAACATTACAAAATGGACTTATAAACACTACAAAATAGATCGACAAATATCACGAATTCAGCACTGCCGCCGAAAAATCCAACGTCACCGATCGCCGGAAACTCCCTCCCTCCCTCTCTATCCCTGATCCGTCTCTCTCTCTCAGCTATCACTTTGGGGGAACCGCTTGGGGCAAAAAAAGTACACGTCCGCCGCCGGGAGAATTTCCCAGAAACGAACCGGCGGGTGGGGTGCACATTGTTAAATAAATAAACTTTGTAATTATCTTTTTATCCTTCATTAAATTAGATAAATTTAAACCATTAAATTTTAATGAAATTCAATAGCTAAGATCGACTTAATCATGTGACTAATAAACCTTCCTAGTCACATGATCTTAGCCCAATTGAGCAACAGTTTATTTAACCCACGGTTTGTCGGCGAGACATACAACCACGGTATCACGTGTCATCACAAAAACCATAAGACTGACAATGACCCGCACTGGCAGCAAGCTACCTGCATTACCCAGTAGCTGAAGCTTCCTTTCTCGTCCTCGGTTTTAACCTTTACACTGACAGAATCCCGACAGTAGAAGATGCAGAGGACAGTAGAAGATTCCTCCCCAAATTCACGGTCTTTAAAACCCTTCCGTGGCATAAACATGTGACTCAAAAAGATTCCTCTGCTCCTATTACAATAAACAAAATTTCTGTTGCAGCCTCTACATACACACACGCACGACTACATACTCTACATACATGATTTGCCCCCATTCACCATCTAATCCTAACACAGTAAGGATTACCACAGCACAAATGGGGATTCGGGGGACTTTTTCTGCATATGCTGCGGCCAAAATCAGGCATTGCCCATTGGCATAACAGTAGAGCCTCTGAATGAATGAAGAATCAAACACATACAAGATGATACACAACTCGGAATCTGGGTTCTCCACAAACATCCTTACCGATCATCGAGTTCTGGTTTTTTCGATAAAGATCTGTATGTTTGAGCTCCACTCTCGTATCCGCTGCTGTCACCTGACTCCATCACCTGTCTATCGGTTCTGAAACTGTCTCGATTGGGGCGGCTTTGATCCTTTCCAGTTCGACGATCCTGAATTACAGACATGCCTTGGGTTAGACTGTTACATTATGAGTAGTGTACTCTACCAAATCCTACTTTTCCAAGTAATTTTTGCATCTTTGGTTCTTGACAGAAATCTACATGCTTACATCTCGGAATGGGAATTCATCAGCTTCCAGCATATGGATCACATGCCCGATCTTCGGCCTTTTCTGAGCATTTGGATCCACACACCTTAGAGCTACTAAAAGGGCACGCTTCAATGCTCTTGAAGACGGCTTCTCTGGCAATCTAGGATCCAGGACGCCTTCTGCATTCCTATTCGTCACCATCGTTTTAAGCCACTCTACAAGGTTCACCTGATTCACATTAATCCCCCTAGTTAATGCCATTTACAGCAACAATCATTCAAATCTAGTTGAACGAAAAACTAATTAACCTCTCCTGGCGGGCGACTGTAATCAACCGGGTTCCTTCCAGATATGACTTCCATGAGAAGGATTCCAAAACTGTACACATCGCTTCTCTCGTTCAACATCCCTGTACTAGCATACTCCGGAGCCACATACCTGGGGGAGAATAACATAAACCTGATCACACTAACCCACAATGGAGAGGACAAAAGAAAGTTGTTGAGCAAGAGAATAGCGAGGATGCACTAGACTAACCCGAATGTCCCCATTACTCGAGTCGTCACATAACTGCTCTCCGATCCCAGAAGCTTTGCCAAACCGAAGTCGGAAACTTTCGAATTCCACTGCTTATCGAGCAAAATGTTGCTCGATTTTATATCGCGATGAACCACCTTTGGCTCGAGCCCCTCGTGCAAGTATGTTAGCCTAGGGTACACAAAGTTCTTAGAATTTGACTAGAAAAGAGAAACATCATGTTGAACGTCAGTCAGTTTTAATTACCCTTTGGCAGTCCCAGTGATTATATTCATGCGAATCTCCCATGTGAGAGGGCTGCAAGGGCCAACACCACCATGAAGCCATTGCTCCAAGTTGCCATTATCAACATACTCATAAACAAGCATCCTATACAAACACCAAAAGAAGAGAACTCACCCATTGATCACCTTAAGACAAAATCCTGATTTTCAGCCATGAAATTGAGAGTTCATTGACTTACCTATGAGCACCTTCAGCACAATAACCTAGCAACCTCACCAAATTCTTATGCCGCACCCTTCCAATTGCTTCCACCTCAACTTTAAACTCCTTCTCGGCTTGACCCCTAAAGGAACACCCAAAAAAGCCACAAACTTTAAGCATCCAGAACAAAAAAACAAGGTAGGAAAAACTTTAACCAGACAATCCCCTCCTCCTTCTGCATGCAGATGAAAAGGGCACTCCTGATTTGCACTAAAGTTCCCTACTTTACCTGTTGTTGAGCAGATTCTTGACTGCGACAGTGGTTTTTTTATCTTCAAAAACTCCACGGTAAACAATCCCATACCCACCTTCCCCAATCACATTCTCGTCGGCAAATTCATTAGTAGACAACTCCAGCTCCCTCAGAGTATACCAATGTCCCCAACCCAAATGTGAAACCTCCGGCACCGTCATCGCACCCTGGTCGCCGGACCTGGGACCCGACCGGGCCTCCCCGCTCCCGTGACCCGACCCGTAAGAAATCCGGTGGTCCTTCCCAATCTCGAACTGAATTCTGTTGCGGGAGTCAGAGGAAACAGAGCCCTGCTGCTGTTGCTGATACGGAGCCGGGTTTGGATCCGGGTCGGGCTTCGGATTCAACCCGGGAGGAGGAGGATGAGGAGAAGGGGCCGGGTCGACCCGGATCTCGGTTATCTCCTTGGAGACATTTGGGATAATCTGGTTGTTGATGGGTGAGGACTTAAATTGAGAAACAGAGGAAGGGAGACCATTACTACTAGTATTAGCGTTGTTGGTTCTTCTGTTGCGCTTTGATGTGAACCAGAGCGAGATTAGGAAGAGGAAAACAACTATGGCGGCTCCCACGCAGATACCCACCAAAACCCACAATCGCAAACCGAAGATTGAAGTCTTCTTCGATAGCTCATTGTTCAGAAACGAACCGCTCGACATTTTACTCTGTTTTTACCCCCTTCCTTTTCTTCAACCTCTGTCTTCTCTTGAGACAGAAATTTCTGCCAAGAAAATGGAAGGGAGGGGAAGGCAAAAGAGACAGAAAGTGGGCGTGTTGCAGAACTTAGACACTGATTGAAAAGAAAGCGTTGTTTGTGTACAGAATGAAGTAGGTGGGCCGCTCTGTGAAGGAGAGGGAGCAAGCTGGTGTGAATGGGACCTTGTGGACTATGATAGTGATTGAAAATTAAAATGGATTATTATCATGAGAAGAAGAAGAAAGCAAAGAATTGATTACGAAATGGTTGAATCTTGTTAGTCATTAAGACACTAATGCTGGCAGTCGGCTACTGTAATTAATGGGAAATGGAAGGAATCTCAAGCGACCACTTGGATATTGATTGTGAATTTAATGATGTGATTAAGGAATTGGGTTTGATTGTCTTGTTTAGTGGGCCGCTCTTTGGGGATCTGGAGCTGGTGGTGGCTTCTTTCTTTGGTATTTTAGAAGAAGATTTTTGGCTTTAGGGTAGGGTTTGGTTTTGACGTTGAATTTTGCTTTTTGGGATGCGTCTTTGGGGCCTTGTTTGTATATTGTAGTGGGGAAGAGGATATCAATGGTGTCTATGGTGGAAGGACGCGGCAAAAGCTAATTCATGATTAAGATTTAAGGGGTTTGGAGAATGTGATTTAGGGCGTGGATTCATTGAATTCGTAGATTTTGTAGAATATTATGTTTTTTGTTGTCTTTTGTATTGTGGATTTTAACTTAAGAGATTTCGAATCTCTGAAATCTATGGATATCAAATCTCTCACAATCAGAGAGATTTTATATATTGATTCATGAGATTTTTTTCTCCTACCTTTTCTTTTTCTTTTATTTATTTATCATATTAAATATATTTACTAACAAAGTTTTTAATATTTCTCGAACTACTCTAATTTTTTTTATTAAGGATAAACATGTTATATAATATAAAAATTTTATTTTTATTTTCATTGAATGTTAACAATCACAGTTACCAAACAATAAACATTTTAAAATCTATTTTCAACAATCCGAAGAGTTAAAATCTTTAGATTGTTGACAATCTATAAATTTAAACTCAAATTCTCCAAACGACCCATAAGATGAGAATCGTATAAATGGATTAAGAAGTTAGGGAATTAGTTGCATTTTGGCTTTTGTCTCAAACTCATTTGGTCTAACATGGTGGAGGTCATTTATATATCATAACAATTAGTAAAAGGAATAGGTACATATTCAATATATGATTTTTATGTTTTGGATTACGATTCTCTTGGTTCTTGTAAAAAATTAAATTTGTTTGTGCGAATTTAGCATAAGAGAGCTAAGTTAATCTTTACTTATCCTTTTGCTTAAACTTGATCGAGTTGTCGAGAACTACTTGATCCCAACAAGTTGAATTGTTCAACATGATCAAAAACAATCTAGGAGGTTGAAGTTTATATAGGCTCACTATACTACCATCTTCATTCCACAATTAATGTTAATGATTCGTGAGAACTGGAACTTGATTCGTCTAAGATACTCTAATACCAATTTAGAACTAGTTGTTCTCGACAACTTATCTGATCAGGAAAAGGTCTCAATATAAATCTTATATCATTATTTTCTTACAGGTGGGCAGAATGGTCTCTTAACTGCAAAAAAAATAGCTTAGTTTGGCCCGCGGTAGCTTTTGCAGAAGCAGCTTTTAGATAAGTACTTTTCAAAAAAAAAAAACAGTTGAGCGTTTGGCTGTAAAACTATTAGAAGTGCTTTTTAATATGAAAGATGGTATAAAATGACTATAAAGGACTTATAATATAAAATATGAATAAAAATTCTAAACAATAAAAAGTAAACAAAATGGATCTTGTTAGATTTCTTTTATATTAAATAATATGATTGTATAATTTATTTTATTTTTAAAATGATACAAATGAAGGAAAATTATATTTTCTGAAATAAAATTAAAATATGGTAAGAATAATCTTGTATTTTCAAAACAGCTCTGCGCAGAAGCTCCAAATCGGAGCTTCTTCTTTTATGTTATACAAAAGCGCTTTTCGGCTTTTCAAAAGCCGAGTTTTTACAGGTGTTTAGCCCTGCTTCAACTTTTAAAGTCTAAAAGCCGGGCCAAACATAAGGAATATAGCCTAACAATAATCATAAGTACTTGCGAATTTTATAAACAAATGGATTGATAATTCATTTGCCTCCATTCCATATACTTGGCATTTTGAGTATGAATGCATTATTATTACTCCACTTAATATAAAAATAAGCATTGCTTATAGTCATAGAGGTCAATATGTAGGTGTAGAAATATCATCTCTGGACAACCGACATGAACCTTACGCGCTAATCATGATTAAAAAACAATTTACTAGTTAAGAGTTTAACACAATTACGCATATGTTTTTGATGACCTTGAGGTTTTGTGGGATTCTTCGGCAGCGGCAAAGCTGACAGAGCCATTTACTTAAACCGCAGACAAGATGTCCGCAATTAATTACACATGTGAGTTGTGACTGACATTTGCGATCATATGTTACACAATGAGAAGTGAGAACATATGCCAGCTAAGGTGGCGAACCATCAATATATATGGGCCGTCTTGTTTGTTGTCTTCTGGGCCCAATCGTCGATACATCACTATGTATCCAACAAAGGCCCTTCCATGTTCCAAGTGTAGGAAGGGTACATTTTTTTATGTTGGCAACTTTGACCCACTACCAATTACAACTATGTGGAGGAAATGGTTGGACTTTACCATGATTGATTCGGAGACAGCTGACGTAGAGTTGGCACATGTAGAGATTGTAAATTTTGTATACAATTGGTAGTTTGATCATTCTGAGCTAGCCAGCCGTTGTTAGGCTCATGATTAAGGTCAGTGCGGAATTGATGAAGTGGCAGGATGTTTTGTTTGAATTCGACTTCTCGTTCTTTTTTCACCATAGAAAATACTATATTTGACAAGGTTAAGAGAGGTGTCAAAAAAGTGTCAAAGATTCTAACCCGCTCGTTGGGAAGATCGGGAGTGAAAACCAACATTACGAGTGATCCAACCTGGTTTTCATTGTGTTTTGCTAGGCGGCGGAAAACACAAGACAATGGAAGAAATGATAGTGTAGTGCCATCATGGCCGAATGTTCAAGCTGACCTTCGATGACCATGTAGTATGACGATCAGAGTAACCAATTTTCAATTCTAATTCTTGTCCTATCTCAATTCCTACAGTGTTGCCCGCAATTTCTCGTCTACATCAAGCTAACTACACTATGATATTTCTCGTTTCTTATATGTTAATTATAAAAAAATCATGGATAACATATATAATCATCCTATTAGTACAAATAGTTTCTTGACCTAGTTAAGAAAGAGGCAAAGACACTTCCTTCCTACCTTTAATCCAACTACACTAATTACGAGAAATTTTACAATGCTATAATAGTATTGGTGCTATAGGTTTTTGTCTTTATGGTACAATTTAAAATTGTACATTTACGTTATGATATAACTTCTTATTGTACCTATACTTTTTGTACAAATTCTTTATGGTACAACTTGAACTTGTACATTTATGTGATGGTACAACTTCAAGTTGTAAAGTTGTACCATAACATAATGGTACAAATTGCTTTATGGTACAACCTAAACTTATACATTTTATGTTATGGTACAACTTTGAGTTGTACATTAAAGCACCAATGCTATATAGCATAGTAGAAGTGCTCCACTAATTACATATTTTTTCCTTAGGATTATACTAGCAAATAACCACAGATTTCTCACTTGGGTTAAAGCCGAAAATATGGAAGCTAAAATAACAAAAGAAGTGGAATGAAAAAGTGTCAAAGATTCTACCCCGCTCGTTGGGAAGATCGAGAGTCAAAACCAACATTACGAGTCATCCAACTTGATTTCCATTGTTTTGCTAGGCGGCGAAAAAACACGAGACAATGGAAGAAATGATAGCGCAGTGCCACCATGACCGAATGTTCAGGCTGACCTTCGATGACCATGTAGTATGACGATCAAAGTAACCGATTTTCAATTCTAATTCTTGTCCTATCTCAATTCCTACAGTGTTGCCCGCAATTTCTCGTCTTCAACAAACTAGCTACACTATGATATTTCCCGTTTCTCATATTTTAATTGTAAAAAATTTCATAGATAACATATATAATCATCCTATTAGTACAAATAGTTTCTTGACCTAGTTAAGAAAGAGGCAAAGACACTCTCGTCTTTAATCCAACTACACTAATTACATATTTTTCCTTAGGATTATACTAGCAAATAACCACAGATTTCTCACTTGGGTCAAAGCCGAAACTATGGAAGCTAGAATAACAAAAGAAGTGGAATGAAAAATCAATCAAATATAATGAAATCATAATCTGAAAATTTTGGAACAACTCTAGCTCCACCAACCGTTTAAAAAAACAAGGGCGTTCTACCACTCATAGCAAAGGAAAAACACATAGTTACAAGAGCTATGATTTAACCAATAGAATTAGGGATGGCAATGGGTCGGGTCGGGGACGGATAGTGCATATCCGTTACCCTACCCAAAGTAGTTCGGGTTTTACCCATACCTATACCCACATATGAAACGGGTACAAAATTAAAACCATGCCCATACCCGTTCGGGTTTCGAGTATCCACGGCTATCCATGGGTAATGATTTCTCTTCATAACTCCAACTAATTATTTAACATTCACACGTATTCTCACATTACGCAAGAGGAAAAGTATGACAATAATTCACTAGAATGAAGAAAATTAATTAAAACAACACAATTTCATGAAAATATTATATTTATATGCTAAATATAAAATATGTTAGAGAAAAATAATGACTATTTCTAGACAAAATACATATGTATGTGTATAATCGGGCGGGTTCGGGTTGGATAATGAGAAACCCATGCCCACCCATTACCCGCAATATTCGGGTTCGGGTTTTACCCGTACCCACTAAATGTCCTTCGGGTTTGGATTTTACCCTACCCGATTAGGCTGGGTTCGGGCGGATATCCACGGTTACGGATATTTTTGCCATCCCTAAATAGAATCTTCTTTGTCTAGATATTAAACATCAAACACAGAACATAACACTCAAAATTAATCGCCCCAAATTTGCATGTCTATATTATGAATGAAACTTCAGCATCTAAAAACCAACACTACTGCGTCTCATCTTCTTGACCCCTCTCTAGGTTTTAGCATGTCAATCCTTTGCGGGACTTGATGCATCATCTTCAACACGATATCAACCACAAGTTCATCTCTCCAGCCGCGAGCTTGAACGTATCTTCCACCGACAACGACGACTCTGGAAACTGCCTGCAGCCACCTCCACCTGCCTACAAAATTTCAAACACAAATTCCAGCGAACGTAGATTTCGACGTTAGAACCTGAAGATCTAATATCGCAGGCTAACTAGCTATAGTGACTTCTAAAATATTTTCTGTGTTTCTAATGGGTTGTTGTGGTGAGTAATGTTTCTATGGATCGGACAATCGGAGGATCAAAACCAAGAAACAAAACAAGACACACGAATTTAATTTATATGGTTCCCTAATATGATATGTGTTATCTATTCTACGGACAACGAGATCTCCATGACTTCCAGTAATAGTCAAATAATACGATTCAAATCATATCAAGGCATAGTACTCACATGGGCATGAATCATGTAGGTGCACCGATGGTGGTCCGTGGAGATATGAGCAGAGACAACATCCAAGCCGTGCTTCTCCAGTATATGCAAGATGGTAGCAAGCAGCCCTTGCTTCTTCGCCGAACAAATACATATTTGGGCATCTTGCCCCCACATGTTGAGCACCACGTTGGGAGAAAACCACGTCTGGAAACCTGACGGTGGAGTACTTGTAGTGATCATCGACGGCGGAGGGAAGGGCTTCGACGGCCCTTGAGAAGCCATGAAGGCTTCCCTCGTACAAGATTGATCGGCTGCTACTGCAAATGGTAGCTGTGGTGTTGCGGCTTGTGAAGTGGTGATCACTGAAACTGCAGACGGCTCGCTGTCGAGGTTTAGGAGTCCTTGGAGTTTTTCGAGCTTCTGCTTCTCGAGGGTTTGGAGGGTTTGGTGGAGGGTCTTGATGTAGCTTATTGCCTCGTCCACAATGGTCGACTTGTCCGCCTGTGGGGAAAAAAAAGTAGAGTATGTGAATACTTTACCAAAGAGGTGACAGTTGTGAGGATTTGGGAAATTTACTGCACAAGAAAGTTAAAAAAAATAAATAAATTTATGTGGTTCACTAACACAATTTGTGTTGGTTAATTTATGGACAATAGAGAGTAGTTTCGTCATAACTAGGAAGATACAAATTACAATTGAGAAGGCGTTTATAGTACCTTTTTCATACGACCTACCCCTAATCCAATATGGGGAAAAAAAGTTACAAACCAGATCCAAAATAGCACCCCCATGACTTCATATCGACGGACAAATAATTCAAGTCATAGCAACAATGTACTTTTTTTTGTACACCATACCATAAAAGTTATATATGGGTAGGGTTATTTTATATTAAAACTGTGATTGAATTGTGAATGATCCGTTCATACCACTAAAATTATCTATTGTTTGAAGTCTAATACCCGATATTTCCTGTCCAACCAGCCTATATGACAAAATTTCTACAACATTGGTTTTTTTTTCTTTTTCTTTTGAAGACAGTCACTTTCAATTCATCGGAGTCGCGACCCTGCAGACTGGATCTTGTACAAAGACCCATTTCTCTTTATAGCTAACAGAACAAACAAGAACATTCAAGACCAAGTAATTAATTTCCAAAAGTGAGAGACAAAACAGAAGCCAAAAGTGTCCACCCGTAAAAATGGGCATGCAAACAAAAGCCATCTCTCCTTGTTCTTGGACCTTAGTGCACCTTATTACACACCTACTCTGGAACATCATTCCTTCTGCGAATTCAGTTCCAATTCAGAGTGGCAGGCTGGCGGCAGCCTCAAAGTAACCGCCATGGACTGATTAGCAGAGCCTTGATCACAAGAGGCAAAACTACCCACCAACAAATATACTCTTACCATTCACCACAAGTAACAACACTTTTTGGGACCGAAAAAAAATTCGTGGTTACCTTGGAAGGGAGTTGAGGGAGTAAGGCCTGAAGATTGGTGAACATGTTCCTCATCCTCTTCCTCCTCTCCCTTTCCGTCCATATATGAACCTGTTGCTCCGACTGATCTCCTTCGCCGCTGCCGCCAGCTTCTTTCACAACACCCTTGCCGTGATTTTTGAGAGAGGAACTACTTCTCTTGTTGTTTTGAGCCACCTTGAGCGCTGCCGCTGGTGTGTGGACAAGGGTGGTAGAGCTGGAGTTACGAGACTTCATTTTTTTGTGAAGAGAAAGGGTTGGTGGTGGAATGGAAAGCGAAGGGAGAAAGTGGAGGAGGAGAAGAAATGAAGGGGAAGACAAAGAGGAAAGGTGACAAGCTATGGCTAAGAAGAGAGGATGTTAAGAAAGCGACCAAAATACAATCATGAGGGGATGCCGTTATTTAGCTTCAGAACAAAAAACGTAAAACCGACGAAGGGAAGCGCGTCATTTTTCTCTTCAAGATTTTGCCTGAAGGAGTGGGTCCACATTCTTATTAATTTTCTTTCCTTTTTTCCTCCTTCTTTGGATTGTGCTTCTTTAGTCCTCCTACTTATCCTTCATCTCCAAATGAGCCCTTCCACCATTCTTTAAATGCATTTTGGTCTCCAAACTCACTCTAGCTAGTACTTAACAATTAAGAATGGACTTCAGCATTATCCAAAAAAGAGAAAAAAAGAGAAGAACGGACTTCAGTCAATGAGTCAAATGGAAATGATCAGTTGGGGGAGAGTCAAGCTTCTTTGCTATGAAATTATATGCATGCATGGTCAAGTAGAAGAATTAATTAAGGAAAGTAATTAAATGATTTATTACTCTATCCAGCTGTGATTTAACTGAAATATACGTTACGTTTTAAATTCAAAAGTTGAAATCATTAAAATTTTGGAGGTATTGAAGAAAATTGATAAGACTTAATATTCCAATATTCTCACTTTGTTGACCGTTGAACTATAACATTTCAATTTTTTGAATGGTGAACGTCGTTCGAAATCAAATTGATGAGAAAAATGGGTCTAAATATCAAATTCATTTTGAACTTTCATCCAACATTTTCGATAATAATGTTGGACTTTTGCTACTATTTGGCGGCTGGACTTCCCACTCATATTTTAAATGTCACGCCATCCTCTCTTAATAAATCCATTAAAGTTGCTTGAAAAATTTAAACTGGTTTATATATTGGGATCATTTTCTTTTCATCACTTTCAATGGGTTTCATTGGCGTTGAGAAATCTTGTGGACTTGTTTGGAATTGCGGAAGCAAATCTCCTCACAAACGCCAACACCATATTTGGGCAAATCGGCTTTGGGGCAAAGATGGGCAAATTAGGGTTTCATGGTTGAATGGTTTCTATTGGGCCGAGACGCAGATGATGATCACGCCTGCATGGGCCGCAAGGGCTGCAAAGCCCCACAAGCACAGCTGGTCACAAAAGCTCTGCAGTTTCCTTCTCCTTGTTGTAAACGGTTATTAAGGCCTAATGTAACCCTAGGAGATTGTAGTCCCAGTGTTCTAAATATGCTTGCTTGTAAAGCCGAATGGCATCCTAGTTAATCATCAATAATAGTTCACCTGGAGAGACTTCTCTCTCCCGTGGATTAGTCCCAACAATTTGTTGGGGATACCACGTAAAATCACGTGTCTTCTTCATCGTTCGTGCTAGATTTATTATGGTATCAGAGCATACGGTCCTTTGATCATCTGTCATCATGAGCGACGACGAGGAAAGCAAGAAGTCGGCCATCGACGACAGAGGGAAGGGTCACCTCTCTTCGTCATCCTCCTCCGGCCATGCCTTCCCGGAGCCACAGTCGCCTTACTTTCTTCATCCGTCCGATGTTAATGGGAAACTCCAAGTCAGCGATCCTCTTACTCCGACTAACTACGGCGAGTGGGTCGTGGACATCATGATGCGCTGATAGTCAAGAACAAATTTGGTTTTGTTGATGGCACCATATCGAAGCCGACGCAAGAGCCAGAACTGGGAGCATGGATTCGATGCGATGTCGTCGTCAAGGGCTGGTTGCGGCTCTCCATGAACAAAGAAGTCAGAAGCAGTGTTCGGTACGCCAAGACAGCAAGAGAGGTCTGGGTAGACCTCAAGGATCGTTTTGGACAAGGAAGTCTCACTCGCAAATACGAGCTTCGTCGCCTCATCAGTGCACTTTGGCAGGAGAAGCTCACGGTATTGTCATTCTATACACAGCTCACGGTATTTTTCACTTAAGCTCCTAATGCGGATGATCCATCCGCGCATATGGCAGGTACGTTTCTCGACAATTCTGAATGGTTGATAGATTCGGGTTGCAATGAACACATCACCAAGGATGAACGGTTATTAAGTGATATTTTGGTTGACGAAAATAACAATCCGGTGAAAATTACAAATGTCGATAATGTTCCAGTTAAAAGTATTGGTTCTGTTAAGCTGGGGTCTGGAGTTCAACTCGACCAAGTCCTGCATGTTCCAAGTTTTCACTATAATCTTTTGTCCGTGAGCAAGCTGACCAAAGACAACAATGTTGCTTTGATTTTTCTACGTGACTTGTGTATTCTTCAGGACTTACGCTCCAGGAACGTGATTGGGAAGGGGATTCTCCGTGATGGACTTTACTATTTTAAGGTGTTTGATAGCAAGGAGCAGTTTCTTTTTGCGGGTAGTGGACGTCGAGCAATTTCGGAGGAAGTTTGGCACGCTCGTCTGGGTCACCCCTCTCCTGCTAAGCTCTCTCAATTGTGTCCCTTTTTTGAGTTCTCAGATTCCCAGTCGCGTGGGCCCTGTCATCCTTGTCTTCGTGCAAAGCAGAGCTGTCTTCCATTTCCCCACAGTTCTATTAAGACTTCTGATTGTTTTGAGCTTATTCATGTTGACATTTGGGGAGGTTATCAAACTGCTTCTCTTAGCGGGGCACATTATTTCTTGAGGATAGTTGATGATTCCAGTCGAGGAGTATGGGTTTATCTTTTAAAATTCAAGTCAGAGGTTGCACGTTACCTTGTTATGTTTTGTGAGATGGTTTCCACTCAATTCTCAAAGAAAGTACGGCGAATACAGGCAGATAACGGTTTGGAATTTCAAACCTCATCACTGCGTGACTACTTTGAGCAACCTGGGATCGTTCTACAAACCAGCTGCACTGATACACCTCAACAGAATGGGGTGGTAGAACGTAAGCATAGACACATTCTGGAGACTGCAAGAGCTATTCGATTTCATGCAGGTTTGCTAGTTCGTTTTTGGGGTGAATGCATCTTAACTGCTGTCTATGTGATAAATAGGTTACCCACTGAAGCCACTGTAAGACTCCTCATGAAATTCTCTTTGATAAACCAGCCCAGTATTCTCAGCTACGAGTGTTTGGATGTCTTTTTATAGCAAGGACAATCATGGTGGTCTACATAAATTCTCTGATCGTGGCCGTACCGGGGTTTTCTTGGGCTACACAGCTTCCCAAAAGGGGTTCAAAGTTTACGATTTACAATCTCATAAGACTCACGTCTCACGTGATGTTATATTTCATGAAGATTATTTTCCCTTTCGGGCTCAAGACCCTCGAGAATTCCACTGGGTTCCTCCGTTCCTGGTTGAGGACGACGAGGTGGATGTAGCCACCAAAACCAGCTTCTCACCGCTGCATGCAATCACTTCGCCCATGCACAACGTCACAGGTCCTGATTCTCCCACTCGACCCACCGAGTCTTCTCCGTCGTCATCACATGGACCGCGGGTAAGCTCCCCACATTTGTCTTCGTCCATACCCAGTCCAGATGCTGCAACTGGGACTGGCCAATCATCAGGCAACCAATTGCCGCCCTCACCACAACAGTCACCTCTTGCGGTCTCTCCTCCTCCTCCTCGACGCAACACACGTGAGCATCGGCCGCCCAAGAAGCTTGAGATTTATGACACTGATCTGAATTTTGGCTCCCACGTCCGCTACCCCCTATCTCACTATGTATCCTATGATCGCTTCAACACTAGTCATCGAGCTTACCTTGCTAAAATTTCCAAGGAAGTTGAGCCTAAAAGTTTTTCTGAAGCCATTCAACATGAACATTGGCGCCTAGCCATGATCAAAGAGATAGAGGCCCTGGTTGCAAACAGGACATGGAACCTTTCTAAAATTTCCAAGGGATGTTGAGACTAAAAGTTTTTCTGAAGCCATTCAACATGAACATTGGCGCCTTGCCATGATCAAAGAGATAGAGGCCCTGGTTGCAAACAGGACATGGAACTTGGTTAGTCCTCCATCGGGAGCTCATATCATCTACTGTAAATGGGTATTCAAAATCAAGTATCGTCCTGACGGTACTATTGAGCGTTATAAGGCGCGGTTAGTCGCAAAGGGTTACACACATATTGAGGGTTTGGACTATCATGATACCTTCGCCCCTGTCGCGAAACTCGTCACTGTTCGATGTCTTCTTGCAGTTGTTGCTAGTCGTGAGTGGCATATTCACCAACTCGATGTCAATAATGCTTTTTGCATTGGGACTTACGGGAGGAAGTCTACATGTGCATTCCACCCGGTTTTGCGGCTCCCGGGGATCGCCGTGTTTGTCATCTCCAGAAATCTATCTATGGTTTGAAACAGGACTCACGGAACTGGTACCAGAAGTTCACTACGGCTCTCTGCGAAGTTGGTTTTCGCGCCTCTCCGGCAGATCACTCTCTTTTCATCTATCGTCGCAACAACATTTTCTTTGTTTCACTTATCTATGTGGATGATGTTATCCTGGCAGGTGATAATCTTGATTTCATCACTCATGTCAAGAAGTTCCTCGACCAGCGGTTTAGTATTAAGGATTTAAGACCCTTGAAATACTTTCTCGGCCTTGTGGTTTCTCATTCACCGCGTGGCATTGTTCTCAGCCAACGCAAGTATGTTCTTGACATTCATAATGACACAGGTGTCCTCAGTGCGCGTCCTAGCTCCTTTCCAGTAGAGCAAAATCATCAACTCACTAAGCTGAATTCCAGTCCTCTCATTGATGCATCTCCCTCTCGACGGCTAGTAGGGCGTCTCCTCTACTTGACAGTTTTGCGCCTTGATATTCCATATGGTGTGAATATTTTGAGTCTGTTTGTCCATGCCCCGACTCAAGCTCGTATGGATGTTGTTGTTCGGATTCTCCGTTACTTGAAGACTTCTCCTGGACAATGGCTTTATTTTCCCACATCGAACTCTCTTGATCTAGTGGCATATTGTGATGCATACTGGGGGGAGGGGGGTTGTCAGACAACCTATCGTTCTACTACAACTTTTTTTTTATCTCTCTTGGTTCGGCTCCTATTTCATGGCGTACTAAGCAGCAGAAGGTGGTTGCTCGCTCTTTTGCCGAAGCCGAGTATCACGCCATGGCCAGCACAGTTAGTGAGCTTCTCTGGCTTTGATGGTTGTTAAAAGAGTTGGGTGTACCTTAGTCTAGTCCCACTCCTCTTCACTGTGATAATCAAGCTGCTCTCCATATTGCGGCTAATCCTGTTTTCCATGAACGCACTAAGCCTGTTGAAATGGATTGCTACTTCGTCCGGGAGAGAGTTCTTTCTCACGATATTCTTCCCCACAAGGTTAGCTCTCATCTTCAACTTGCAGACATATTCACGAAAGGGCTTGGTACGAACCGTTTCCAGTTTCTTTTGTCCAAGCTGAACGTTCGAGATCTTCACGGTTCAGCTTGCGGGGGCGTATTGGGCCGAGACGCAGATGATGATCACGCCTGCATGGGCCGCAAGGGCTGCATAGCCCCACAAGCACAGCTGGTCACACAAGGGACTGGTTAGAGTGCTAACTTCGTTGGAGTTAGCACCGTACTAACCACTATAATCACTGTTTATTATTTTTAATTAAAATATGATGCTGGAGAATAAGGAGGGGCATATTCGGTATATCAAAAAATTAATTAAATTAATAAATTAAATTTTAAAAGATTTTATCTTCCTTTTAGTAGTAGGCCTGAAAAATAGTACCGTAAACTACTGCTACATTCATTGGTAGTGATTTTGGTGGTTGTATTAGCAATTTTATTTGTTCTTGTAGTGATTTAATTGTAATTAGTAGTGATTTAGAAATTTTAAGTTACTCATGATGGGTGAACTTTAGAAAGTAATGATAACATAATCACTACTAATACGATTAGGTAGGAGTAAACCACTACTGGAATAACTACGCATCAAAGAAAAAACACTACTACCGAGGCGGTTGCGGGTGAAGCGGTTGCGGGCGATGGTGAGTCCATTGTCGGGGAGGCTGAGGCCGGCACGGCTAAGATCGATGAAGGCGTAGTCAACCGGAAGGAGAATCGACGGAGACCAGAGTTTCTTTAGAGAGAGAAGGGGTTCTGGATTTTTTAGAGGGGGAGAGAGAGGGAGGGGTGAGCGGTTGGGGAAGGAGGGTAGAAAAAATGGTATTTATATTAGAGCTTGATGGTATATTTACTAAATTATCCTTTAGTTAGTATGGTGCTAACCCCATTAGGAGTTAGCACCTAATCCGATCCCGTCACACAAGCTCTGATGTTTCCTTCTCCTTGTTGTAAATGGCAATTAAGGCCTAATGTAACCCTAGGAGATTGTAGTAATAGGGTTATAAATATGTTTGCTTGTAAGCCGAATGGCATCCTGGTTAATCATCAATAATAGTTCAGCTGGAGAGACTTCTCTCTCCCATGGATTAGTCCCAACAATTCGTTGGGGATACCACGTAAAATCACGTGTCTTCTTCATCGTTCGTGCTAGATTTATTAGTTTCTAATGTTCAAACTTCATTCTTAGGCGGTGACAAACTAGATTTTATATGTAGTCTGACACTTTCTTAATGATATGTGCTTCCTCTGTACTTTTTTTATATAATCACCTGGGGATTTTATTAAAATGGCTTAACAAGTAGCATCTGAATGACCTACATCAGCATCATAGTCCAAAAGGCCACATAAATCCGTCGGAGGGTAATGGGCCCAAACAATTGTGCTATTACAAGGAATAGTAAGATGGGCTAAATAGTGTGCAGGTACGTTGTTTGTACGTGGGGAGAAAGACCGGGCAACTTGTCCTTCAATCCCATCTGTAATCATCTCCAACCATTCTTTTTTCCTGTAGAATCTGTTCACAAATAATCCCCGTCTCTGTTCTATCAACCTCTTCCTTCTTCAGTTTCTCAATCAAAACTTGACAATCGCTCTCAATTATCATAGGAGTAAAGCCTCTATCCATTGCTTCGTTAGTACCCAAAAGAATTGCCCTAGTCTCAGCCTCCTCCGGGCTACAACTTCCTCTTTCATTCCTAGCGAACCCAAACATAAAATTTCCATTCCAATCCCGAATAAGATCACCCAATCCAGTTATATCATTCCCCAATCTCCCAGCATCCGTATTCACTTTATAGATCCCTGGTTGGGGACGTCTCCACGAAGGCGAATTTGGAGATCTCGCACGCACCCTTCCTCTATCCGACTCTTGGTTTTTCAGATAATCAAGAGCCCAACAGGTAGCTCTCTCGACAATTTCATCTTCCTCCATCTTAGGGTTGTTAAACTGATGATTGTTACGCTCCCTCCATAAGAACTAAAGAATAGCACTGAATCTTTGCAATTTCTCTTCAGGAAACTCTTCGAACACTCTGCATAGCCATTCTGGGCAGCGGAGTTCCACTCCTCTTTCAAAACAGTCCTTCTCCGAGCTTTTCCTCCAGATTCTGCTTATCCGGGTACAATCGCGCAGCGCGTGTTCCGGTGTTTCTAAAAGATTGTAGAAAGGACATGTAGGGCCTTCTTTCTTTGATTTTTTCTCAAGCCTGCTTCCGACGGGTAAAGCATTCTGACTAATTCTCCAAATAAAGTGTTTAACCTTAGGCTGAATCTTGAATTTTCATAGCCCTTTCCAGAACTTCCTTAACTGTGGGGATGCATTATATAGCTTGTTACTTCTAGGAAGGAGATTTTCTCTGTAGAAGTTATAGCCAGTTTTAACAGTATATTCGCCATTAGGAGTCAATGTCCAAATATGTTGGTCTTCTTTGAGTGGCTGTCTGAGAGGGATTTTGGTAATAAGATTTTGATCATCCTTTGAGAAGAGTGTTCTGACATAGTCCATATTCCACGAGCATGTCTCTTCTTCAATAAGGGAAGAGACTGTAAGATTGGGATCACATTCTGTTGGGACCTGATTCGGGCAGAACCCATCTTTATTCGGTATCCATTTGTCTTTCCAAACCCTGATTTGTGTTCCGTCCCCCACTCTCCATCTTAGACCTTCCACTAACAACTCCCTAGGTCCCATGAGGCTTCTCCAAACAAAGCTTGCATTAGACCCAACTTTCGCCTGTAGAATGTCTGTATTTGGATAATATCTGGCCTTTAACATCCTTGCAACCAGCGAGGAAGGTCGATTAATAATATTCCAAACTTGTTTGGCAAGCATAGCTTTATTAACAGCCTTGAGGTCTTTGAAACCTAATCCTCCTTCCTGTTTCCATCACACAGTCTATCCCAGCTAATCCAGTGAATGCGAGTTTCTTCTCCTTTTTGCCCCCACCAGAACTGGCGATAAGACTTTGTATTTCATCCAAAATGCCCTCTGGGATTTGAAACACCATCATGGGATAGAGAATTTGAGCTTGAGCCACCGCTTTAATGAGAACCTCTTTACCCGCTTGGGATAAAGTTCTTGCTTTCCAGTCTTTCAGCTTGCTTCTTACCCTTTCTTTGAATCCGAAAAAAATTATCTTCTTAGATCTACCTATAAGAGTTGGAAGACCA